TTGCTATTTTAAGATCGGTCACCAGATAAAAGTGTTCAAAGTTGGCACGAGACTTTTGGGGAGAGTGTGTGAAGAGTGTGTGGGTGAGTGTGTGAGAGAGAGGGCAGAGTGTGTGAGAGAGTGTGTGGGTGAGTGTGTGAGAGAAGTGTGTGGGTGAGTGTGTGAGAGGTGTGAGAGAGTGTGTGGGTGAGAGGGGTGTGGGGTGGGGAGGGGGTGTGTGAGAGGGAGAGTGTGTGGGTGAGTGTGTGAGAGGGAGTGTGTGGGTGATTGTGTGAGAGGTGTGTGGGTGAGTGTGTGAGAGGGAGAGTGTGTGGGTGAGTGTGAGGAGGGAGAGTGTGTGGGTGAGTGTGTGAGAGAGTGTGAGAGAGAGTGTGTGGGTGAGGGTGGAGTAGAGAGAGGGGTGTGTGAGAGGGAGGGGTGTGTGGGGTGTAGGAGTGAGAGAGTGTGTGGGAGAGTGTGTGAGGAGGGGAGAGTGTGTGGGTGAGTGTGTGAGAGGGAGAGTGTGTGGGGTGGGGTGAGTGTGAGAGGGAGAGTGTGGGGTGGGAGAGAGGGAGGGGTGAGTGAGAGAGAGGGTGTGTGAGAGAGAGAGAGAGAGAGTGTGGGGTGAGTGTGTGAGAGGGAGAGGTGTGGGTGAGAGGGAGAGTGTGGGGAGAGTGTGTGAGAGGGAGAGTGTGGGTGAGTGTGAGAGGGAGAGGGGGTGTGTGAGAGGGGAGGTGTGGAGAGGGAGAGTGGGGTGAGTGTGTGTGGGAGAGGGGAGAGTGTGTGGGTGAGAGGGAGAGTGTGTGGGTGAGTGTGTGTGAGAGAGTGTGTGAGAGGGGAGAGGAGTGTGTGGGTGAGTGTGGGGTGGGAGTGTGTGTGAGAGGGGAGAGTGTGTGTAGTGTGAGAGTGTGTGAGGAGTGTGAGTGTGGTGAGTGTGTGAGAGGGAGAGGTGGTGGGGTGGGAGGTGTGGGAGAGGGAGAGTGGGGGGTGAGTGTGTGAGGGGAGAGTGGGGTGAGTGTGTGAGAGGGAGAGGGGGTGGGGAGTGTGAGAGAGTGGTGGGGGAGTGTGAGAGGGAGGGAGAGAGAGGGAGAGAGTGTGTGGGGTGAGTGTGTGGAGAGAGAGGGTGTGGGGTGTGGAGAGAGAGAGTGGGGGGAGTGTGTGGGAGAGGAGAGTGTGGGATGAGTGTGTGAGAGTGTGTGTGGGTGAGTGTGTGAGTGGAGGAGAGAGACAGAGTGTGTGTGAGAGAGGGAGAGAGAGACAGAGTGTGTGTGTGTGTGAGAGAGAGTAGAGGTGTGAGGAGTGAGTGAGAGAGAGAGAGAGAGAGAGAGAGAGAGAGAGGAGGAGTGTGTGTGTGTGTGTGAGAGAGAGTGTGTAGGAGTTAGAGGCAGGGAGAGTGGGAGTGAGTGTGGAGAGAGAGAGAGAGAGAGAGAGAGAGAGAGAGAGAGAGAGGAGAGAGAGAGAGGAGTGTGAGTTGTGTGTGGTGAGAGAGAGAGGTGTAGAGGAGTGAGAGAGAGAGAGAGAGAGTGAGGAGAGAGAGAGAGAGAGAGAGTGAGAGGAGAGAGAGAGAGAGAGGGGAGGGAGAGAGAGAGAGAGAGGAGGTAGGAGAGAGAGAGAGAGAGAGTGTGTAGGGAGTGAGAGAGAGAGAGAGTGTGAGGAGGAGAGAGAGAGAGGGAGAGAGAGAGAGAGAGAGGTGTAGGGAGAGGAGAGAGAGAGAGAGAGAGAGTGAGAGTGAGAGAGAGAGAGAGAGAGAGTGTGAGAGAGAGTGAGAGAGAGTGTGAGAGAGTGAGAGTGAGAGAGTGAGTGTGGAGAGAGAGAGAGAGGGGAGAGAGAGTAGAGAGTGAGTTAGAGAATGTAGGTGTGAGAGAGAGAGAGAGAGAGAGAGAGAGAGAGAGACAGAGTGTGTGTGTGTAATAATAATAATAATAATAAACGGTTTATTAATAGAGTTGCAGCCGGTGGCTGAAAATATACAGACTTGCATGAGATTTAGACATAATGATATAATATGTGTTGCATACATTTACAGGGCTGTACAGTACATAAATCAGGAGTTGTTTATTATTTTAACAATAGATGGGATGGTGCTGTTCTTATATCTATCGGTGCGGGCTCTTGTGGGCTGAATTTTGTTGTAGTGGAGGACTGCGCGAGGTGGGTGGGGGGCTGTAGGAGGTGGCGATGACGAGGGTGGTGTGTGTGTGTGTGTGTGTGTGTGTGTGTGTGATAAACATCTCTCCAACTCAACTGGTTATGTGTGTACATGTTTTACGAGTCACTTCTGAGTTGTCATTACACCACTAATTTGTTTACACACACACACACACACACACACACACACACACACACACACACACATCACATCACATCGAACCCGTGAACTGGCATCTTAAAACCCACTGAATAAACCCGTCCATCCAAGGCCTTGTATCTGACTCATTCTTAAATCTCTCGACCTTATATTACCTCTGACCTTTCCTGACCTGTCTGAGATATAATTGTCGCGTGTGAGGGTGGTTTTTTCTCTCTCTCTCTCTGTGAGTGTCATTTAATCCACGGAGTGAACAATGCCTGCTCACCTAGTTTCAAGACTGGAATTACATGACGATTAACACCCCCTCTTCCTCCCCCCACCCCCCTCCCCCTTTCTCCGGCAGTTTAATTTACCTGATGATTTAACAACATCTTAATACTACATTGGAGGTTAGGTTAGGTTAGGTATGGTTGGCGTTTGGTTAGGTTAGGTTAAGTGAGCATTTGGGTGATAAATCTTCAGGTGGAATAAACTAGGAGGGCTAATCTTCAGGTAGAATAAACTAGGAGGGCTAATCTTCAGGTAGAATAAACTAGGAGGGCTAATCTTCAGGTGGAATAAACTAGGAGGGCTAATCTTCAGGTGGAATAAACTAGGAGGGCTAATCTTCAGGTGAAATAAACTAGGAGGGCTAATCTTCAGGTAGAATAAACTAGGAGGGCTAATCTTCAGGTAGAATAAACTAGGAGGGCTAATCTTCAGGTAGAATAAACTAGGAGGGCTAATCTTCAGGTGGAATAAACTAGGAGGCCAATCTCAGGTAAATAAACTAGAGCTAATCTTCAGGAATAAACTAGGAGGGCTAATCTTCAGGTGAATAAAACTAGGAGGGCTAATCTCAGGTACAAACTAGGAGGGTTAATCTTCATGTGGAATAAACTAGGGAGGGCTAATCTTCAGGTGTGGAATAAACTAGGAGGGCTAATCTTCAGGTGGGAACAAACTAGGAGGCTAAATTGAAATAAACTAGAGGGCTAATTCTTCAGGTAGAATAAACTAGGAGCACCTTCAGGTGGAATAAAACCAGGAGGCCAATTTCAGGTGTGTGGAATAAACTAGGAGGGCTAATTCAGGTGGAATAAACTAGAGGCTAATCTTCAGTGAATAAACCAGGAGGGCTAATCTTCAGGAATAAACTAGGAGGGCTAATTCAGGTGGAATAAACTAGGAGGGCTAATCTTCAGGTGGAATAAACTAGGAGGGCTAATCTTCAGGTAGAATAAACTAGGAGGGCTAATCTTCAGGTAGAATAAACTAGGAGGGCTAATCTTCAGGTGATGTACAGTTATCGTTAAATCCATGGCATTTATGACGCAGTTTGACCTCTCGTGACCCGTCCTGGTGGTGATTACTGTAATGACGGTAATTCAGGGGTGAAGTACAGTGCCCAGGGGGGTGAGGGGTGAGGGGGTGAAAGAGAGAGAAAGGGGTGGTTGAGAGGTAAGAGAGAGAGAGAGTGAGCGAGAAGGGGTGAGATAGAAAGAAAGAGAAAGAGAGAGAGAGAGGTGGGGTGAGAGAGAATGGGCATATCAAACCCAACCTAACCTGATATGACCTGTGTTTTACCTGTGAGGCCTCAGATAATGACCTGATATGACCTGTGTTTTACCTGTGAGGCCTCAGATAATGACCTGATATGACCTGTGTTTTACCTGTGAGGCCTCAGATAATGACCTGATATGACCTGTGACCTTTGCGTGACCTGGCCTAAATAATGACCTGGCGTCCTGTATCAGGTCTCAGATAATGAACCTGTCGTGTACCGAACCTACATAATGAATGACCTTTGTTCTTCATACCTACCTACCTACCTACCTTACCTATCTACCTACCTACCTACCTACCTACCTACCTATCTATCTACCTACCTACCTACCTACCTACCTACCTACCTACCTACCTACCTACCTACCTACCTACCTACCTACCTATCTACCTACCTACCTACCTTGTAAGCCTGGACCTACGGCCTAGAAAACAGTGCGTTAATGTTCGAAATAAGGCAAACAGAGTATTGGGTTTTATATCTAGAAGTGTAAGTAATAAGAGTGCAGAGGTCTTATTGCAACTATATCTTGCGCTAGTTAGGCCACACCTCGATTATGCGGTTCAGTTCTGGTGCACTTATTATAGAATGGATATCAATTCACTAGAGTCGGTGCAGCGAAGAATGACGAAAATGTTTCCGGGACTTAGAAACCTTTCATATCAGGATAGGTTAAAGAAACTAAACTTGCATTCCCTAGAAAGACGAAGAGTGCGGGGAGATATGATAGAAGTATTTAAGTGGGTGAAAGGAATCAATAAAGGTGATATAGATAAAGTTCTTATAATATCCGAGCAGGATAGGACTCGGAACAACGGATTTAAGTTGGATAAGTTTAGGTTTAGGAGGGAGATAGGAAGGAATTGGTTCACAAATAGGGTGGTGGACGAGTGGAACAAGCTTAGCAACTTTGTAGTAAGTGCTGGAACGCTGGAAAGTTTTAAAAGGAGGCTAGATATATTCATGGATGATAGAGAGTGGTAGTAACTCTCGACAGGAGCTGCCATGCACAGGCCAACCAGCCTATTGCAGACTCCTTATTATCTTATGTTCTAGCTAACTAACTAACTAACTCACTACCCAACCCATCCACCTACCCACCCACCCCACCCACCCACCTGTACCGCTCCATATACTGACCAGGTAAGCTGTGTCGCCCCACAGGTGAGGAGGATGAGCGGACCCCCTATGAACGGGTGCTGTACGGGCTGCACCATGATCAACGATGGCTCAAGGAGGTCACGTTGGGTCGTCGGGTCGGCTTCTATCGCTTCAGGGGCGAGCTGGGTCAAGGCAACTTCTCCACCGTGCGTCTTGCCTTCCATCAGCTGACCCGAGGTGAGTGTTATGTTAGCTTGAGAGGTCGATTGAGTGAGTGTGGGTTAGCTGGAGAGGTCGATAGAGTGAGTGTGCGTCAGTTTGAGAGGTCGATTGAGTGAGTGTGCGTCAGCTTGAGAGGTCGATTGAGTAAGTGTGCGTCAGCTTGAGAGGTCGATTGAGTGAGTGTGCGTCAGCTTGAGAGGTCGATTGAGTGAGTGTGCGTTAGCTGGAGAGGTCGATTGAGGTGATCCGATTGACCCGCGCGAGAGAGAACTATTCCCTTGTGATTGCTTCTTGCTGCTGCTGCTGCCAGACGTATGATCACCCCGGCAGTAAATGCACCATTGACCGACACTTACTCACCTTTATTGTGTCCCAGAGGTCATTATTTTTCCCCCTGGATGGGTCGTTTGTCATACTGAAGGTCATCACTTGTTGATCTTGGCGGCCAGCGACGATCAATACACTTACATCAGGTGGTAGCAGTGGCAGCGAGAGAGGGAGGGAGGGAGGATACAGGCCTATATATAAATATTCTGTATATACAACATCTAATTGAATTTTACCATAACGTTTCGATATTTCATAATTTATTTTCATTTGATCTAGAATTTACTATATCACTTATAAGAAGTTACAATAAAACCATGGTATTTTTATTTACATTATCGACGACTGTTAACCCTCCTGGTGGTGGTCATTTATGGAACTAGCCAGCATTTGTTTTTCTCCCCCCCCCCCCGCTATTTGTGATGTGGAGGAGGGTTGGGTAGGCTATTTTCTTCATTATGGGCGAGTCAAAGGTTCCTGGGTGATAAAATGTACAGCAGGTAGTACATGTTTCTGAGTCCAGTACTAATGTGATGTACGAGTGTTCTGGGTTGACGAATTGCAAGGAATATTTTGAAGATTATTATTATTTTTATTATTTTTATTATTATTATTATTATTATTATTATTATTATTATTATTATTATTATTATTATTATTATTATTTTTATTATTATTATTATTATTGTTATTATTATTATTATTATTATTATTATTATTATTATTTTTATTATTATTATTATTATTATTATTTAAGGTTTTTCGAATCATCTTATGTGTAGACGATATTTCCACACTTCATTATTATTATTATTAGTATTAGTAGTAGTAGTAATAGTAGAAGTAGTAGTAGTAATAGTAGTAGTAGTCGTATTAATAGTTGCCTCAGTCATAAAAGAAAATATCATAAAATGGGTTAAATGTTTCTCTTTTACAATATATTTTTCGTAAACTTATTAATTTATATTCGGTTTGGTGTTTGTAGTTCACTTTATGTAGTAGTGTAGTGTTATAGAGAGATATAGCCCCTGATGGTCATTTAGTGAACTTTTCTTCTATTGTTATTACGAAAAACGACTCGACTGATTTTCTTCAACATTGGAACTAACTTTCTAACGAGTATTTTTTTACATTAATTTATTCCTGTTAACATTTTACTTTTTTGATTGTTTTAGATTATTCGATTTAATTTGATTGGCTCGTGTTTAATTATTTACAGAGGATAACACAAAATTAGGGTATTAGTAGTAGTATTTTTTCTCCACTGTTTATCTGGTTGATGACGTAATAGTTTATTTACATTAGGACAGGTTAATTAGGACAGGTGTGTAAGTGACGTTGTTTATCTCTGTAATGACTAGAGACTTAAGCCCTTCTTTATGGACTGTTGCCGGTGTGTGTGTGTTGATTCACTGGGAGACTGGCTGCATTTTCTTACGTGTATCTGCTGTTCAGTTAGCTCTAGGTAGTGAAGATATAGGCAACAGTTAACGTGTGGAATATTGCATACTCTCACTCGGACAGTTCCCCCCCCCCCTTTGTGCCCGCTTGACGTCATCACTGTGACGTCAGAATGTAAACAGCGGGGATGTGACGTAAAGGGTCTGTTTGTGTTGGAGGTCTGGCGGCTCACGAGGGCGGCGGCTGCTGGTTACCCTGTGGCCTCTCTCTCTCTCTCTCTCTCTCTCTCCCCCTTGATGTCTGTGTCCACCTGTTAAAGAAATATTTCCATAATAACTTGTGGATCACCTGAAGAATCATCGCCCCAGCTTATTTCACCTAACGATTAAACCACCCTAACCTAACTTAACCTAACGATTAAACCACCCTAACCTAACTTAACCTAACGATTAAACCACCCTAACCTAACTTAACCTAACGATTAAACCACCCTAACCTAACTTAACCTAACGATTAAACCACCCTAACCTAACTTAACCATACGATTAAACCTCCCTAACCTAACGATTAAACCACCCTAACCTAACGATTAAACCACTCCTGTCCCAACCCTCTAACCTAACGATTAACCATTCTCATCCCAAACCTAACCTAAACCTATTCTATCCTAATCCAAATCTAACTCAATCTAACCCAACCCAACCCAACCTGCCGCAGTCCTTATGTCTATTAATCTCAGTAGACTAATGATTTACCTGAGATTAAGCCTCCCCCTCACCTCCTCCTCCTCCCTCCTCCTCCTCTCCTCCCCCCCTCCCCTTAAGCTTATTTTACCTGTTGATTAAATATCCTAATGATATATAAAGGGTAGGTTAGGTTAAGGTTTGGTTAGGTTAAGTTAGTTTTTGGTTGAGTTAGGTTAGGTTAGTTAGGTTTGCTAGGGTTATGTGGTTAGGTTAGGTTAGTTTTTAGTAGGTTGTTGGGTTTTTGGTTAGGTTAGGCTTGGTTAGGTTTAGTGCCTGGTGTTAGTTAGTTTTTGGCAGTTTTGGTTGGTTAGTGCTTGGTTGGTTAGGGCTTGGTTGTGTTGGTTAGTTTTTGGTTAGGTTAAGTTAGTTTTAGCAGGGGTTAGTGCTTGATTGTGTTGGTTAGTGTTTGGTTAGGTTAAGCTAGTTTGGTTAGGTTAGGGTTAGTGTTTTGTTAGGTTAGTTGTTGGCTAGGTTGGTTAGTTTGGTTAGGTTATGTTAGTGTTTGGTTAGGTTGCTAGTGTTTTGTTAGGTTAGTTGTTGGTTAGGTTGTTAGTGTTTGGTAGGTTAGGTTAGTGCTTGGTTGGTTAGGTTAGGTTGGGTAGTAGGTTGGTGGTGGTGGTGTTGTGTGGTTGGGGGTGGGTGGGGGGGGGGGGGGTGGGTGGGGGGGTGGGGGTGGGGGTGGGGGGGTGGGGGGGGGGGGGGGGGGTGGGGTGGGGGGCTGGTTGTGCTGCTAGGCTGCAGGTGGGTGGGTGGGTGGGTGAGTGCCTGGGGTGTGGGGTGTGGGTTGAGTGCTGTCAGGTTAGGCTAGTGGGGGGGGGGGTTGTTGGTTAGTGTTTGCCAGGGTTGGTTAGTTTCTTGCCAGGTTGGTTAGTGCTTGGGTTAGGTTGCAGTGTTTCGGGTTAGGTTGGCTAGTGTTTGTAGGTTGGGTTAGTTGTTGGTTAGGTTAGTTGTTGGTTAGGTTAATTTAGTTTTGGGTTAGGTTGCTAGTGCTTGGTTAGGTTGGGTTAGTTTTTGGTTAGGTTGTTAGTTTTTGGTTAGGTTAGGTTAGTTGTTGGTTGTGTTGGTAGTGCTTGCCAGGGTTGGGTTATTTTGGGGTTAGGTTAAGTTAGTTTTTGGTTAGGTTAGGTAGTTGTTGGTTAGGTTGGTTAGTTTTGGGTTAGGTTGGGTTAGTGCTTGGTTAGGTTGTTAGTTTTGGTTGAAGGTTAGTGTTGGTTGGGTTGGGTTAGTGTTTGGTTAGGTTAAATTAGTTTTGGGTTAGGTTAAGTTAGTGTTGTTTGTTGTGGTTTTTTGAGGTTGTTAGTTTTTGTTAGGGGTTAGGTTAGGTGGTGTCTGGTTAGGGCTAGGTTAGTGTTAGGCTAGGTTAGTGTTAGGTTAGGTTAGTGTTAGGTTAGGTTAGGCTTGTGAAGACGTGGCTCATCGCACGTTCATCTTTATGTGAGTGTTGTTGTGTGTGTGGTGGACGTGACTGTCTGTGTGTGTATGTATGAGAGAGAGAGAGAGAGAGAGAGAGAGAGAGAGAGAGAATATTTAACATGTTGGTGTGTTTGGTATCGAGTGCAGATTATCATCACTACTATCACCATCATCACCACTAACCCCTAACCCCCATACACCACAACCACCCCTTATAACCCACCACACACCCCCACCAACCCCTAACCCTCCTACACCCCCACACACCCCCACCATCCCCCTTCAAGATGGTGGAGTGTCTCTATAGTTCTCGTGTTTAATTGTCGTCCAAGGGTGATGTAGATATGGCAACAGGGTGATGTAGATATGGCAGTAGGGTGATGTAGATATGGCAACAGGGTGATGTAGATATGGCAACAGGGTGATGTAGATATGGAACAGGGTGATGAGGTATGGCAACAGGTGATGTAGATATGGCAACAGGGTGATGTAGATATGGCAACAGGGTGATGTAGATATGGCAACAGGGTGATGTAGATATGGCAACAGGGTGATGTAGATATGGCAACAGGGTGATGTAGATATGGCAACAGGGTGATGTAGATATGGCAAATAGGGTGATGTAGATATGGCAACAGGGTGATGTAGATATGGCAAATAGGGTGATGTAGATATGGCAACAGGGTGATGTAGATATGGCAACAGGGTGATGTAGATATGGCAACAGGGTGATGTAGATATGGCAACAGGTGATGTAGATATGGCAACAGGGTGATGTAGATATGGCAACAGGGTGATGTAGATATGGCAACAGGGTGATGTGATGGGTAACAGGGTGATGTAGATATGGCAACAGGTGATATAGATATGGCAACAGGGTGATGTAGATATGGCAACAGGGTGATGTAGATATGGCAACAGGGTGATGTAGATATGGTAACAGGGTGATGTAGATATGGCACAGGGTGTGATGTAGATATGGCAACAGGGTGATGTAGATATGGCAACAGGGTGATGTAGATATGGCAACAGGGTGATGTAGATATGTAAGTGATGTAGATATGACAACAGGGTGATTTAGATATGGCAACAGGTGATGTAGATGGCAACAGGTGATGTAGATATGGC